ATAATCACTGTAACTTGATTATGATTATGGATTTGCAGGGACAGGTAACCCCAAAATCTATAGTTTTTCTTGCCTGTAGTCATAGACTGTATAAAAAAAAAAAGGAGAGCCACTATGATGTTACCCATTGGTTAGTGAAGAGTGTTTTCTCTGTCACCATCTCAGTGTATTAAAACTGTATGGGAAAAATCCACCACAAAGCCAAACAATCAAACAGAAAAGTAATACAATTCTAACAGAAAATAAAAATTAAAAAAGAAAAAAACAAATGAAGAAAAACACTTTAAAATAGGTTTGTAATAATTTTAATGTGCAAGAACCTTCTGCCCCCAGAAAGCTGCATTAGTCAACTTTGCTGTCAGATAGAATGACAAAATGTAGCCTGGTAAAGACTACAGTATACATATTGAATTTAGCAGTGGGTGGTAGTGTAGAGCAAGTGACAAGGAAAGGACAGCATCAGCAGACGGGTCAAATTTCTTTTAAGTGTACTATATTTCCTTGCATGTCCATTCTACCATTTTAAAACAACCCCGGTTGTCAAAATCTCACTTGTTTTATATAGAATTTTACACACATCTCAATGTCATTATTCTCTACCTTAGAAATAGGTTAGACCAAACAAGATAATCGAAACAAATAAACAGGAATAAAATTATTCATCCAATTGACAGACTCGTTTACACAGCTAAATGATTTGAAAAGTAAAACACTGCATATAGTACAACTCAAACGTTACTTTAAAGAAAATAAACAATACTATCAAAAGGAAAAAACCCTTCATTTGGTTGTGCCCAGTGAATCAATCACTGACCTCATGACCTTATATAAACAGGAAGTGCTGGGTTGGCCCCTCCCACACACCTGCTTTGGATATATGACCAGAACAAAGGGACAGACAAAGGTAAGTATAGCCAAAGCAACATAAGCAAACATAATTTACCAGAAATTTACCTGTCAACAGAAGAAGAGTCAAATCACCTGATGGTTAAGTAGTATTTGCTTTAAAAGAATATGCGTGCATGTAATATAATGCTACCACAAACAAACCCGGGATAGTATTTAGAGTAAAGTTACACCAGCAATATCTAAAATAAAGCGTTACGGCCAACTGTGAAATAACATGGGATAAATTATCAAGATGTTTAAGGAACAAGAGGTAAATAAGTTCTACCACTTTTGGATTTTTGGCTTCACAACCCCCCTTCATGGTTCATGCACGTCGAAGTTCAGTTTGCTCTTCGTGGCATTTCATTCCAATGACACAAAATGCCATCATGTGATGGCGTTGCTGGATCCACTGTCCACCCAGTGTGTGATGACCCTCCTATAGGATTGCCCCCGCCCAAGGGAAATACACCGCTCTCAAGGGCACTGCTTCTGAGTTGCTACTCCCTCTCTGATGAAGAGCAGGCTGAGAAACTCCTCTCTCTCGCGCCTGGGTGATGGTACCGCTCTTGGAGAGCATGCTGTCCTTGCTAGGAACAAATGACGGAGGATTCCTCTTCACCTACCTCTTCCTCTGCCAGCTCCAGTGCGACCTGGCCTTGCCAACTCCCTGCTGCTGGCTGCGAAGGATTACCACTTGCGACTATGGAGCGCCTGGGCATTGTGCAGTGCCTGGGCTTCCCCGTTACAAATGGTGGCCAAATCTGATGGTGGGAGGTGGCCTTATGAGAATTTTCGCCGTCTTAATAACGTCACAGCAAACAATCGCTATCCCATTCCCCACATCCAGGATTTTTCCGTCCATCTTCACGGGACCTTGATTTTTTTTGTAAGATTGATTTAGTACATGGGTATCACCAGGTTCCCATGCGTGCTGAGGATGTCCCCAAAGCCGCCATAATTACTCCGTTTGGCCTTTTTGAGTTTTTGCGCTTGCCTTTCAGCCTGAAAGATGCCACCCAAACGTTTGATGGTCTTGGTCTTGCGCGGGCTGTGTTTCATTTTTGTATATCTAGATGATATCCCGGCGGCCAGCAGTTCGAAGAGACAGCACACGTCCCATCTGCGTCAGGTTTTTCAGCGCTTGGCTGCATGTGGCCTAATCATTAACCCGTCTAAATGCCAGTTTGGGTTGCCAATTCTAGACTTCCTGGGACACTGTATTTCCGCTGAGAGTGCGGTTCCATTGCCAAAGAAATTTGGGCTGTTCAAGACTTTCCGCTTCCGACATCTATTAAAGCACTGCAGGAATTTTGGGGGATGGGAAATTTTTACAACCATTTTCTCCACAGAGTGGCACACCTGCTGCAGCCGCTATATGGCGCATTGAAGAGTAAAAAGGCTAATGTCTACAAGTGCAAAAAATAGGATGGTTGGTCACCCTACCCCTATGGCCACCCCTATGAAAAAAAATCTGGATGCGCCCCTGCTGCCCGACAGTTTTAAAATTAAAGTGACTGAAGGTGACTAAATAACTGCAAGTGACTAAAAGTGAATAAAGTGTCAGCAGTGTAAGAAGAGTGTAGTTTATGGGTGCGGGAAATATTCTTATCGGCTGGAGTTAAAAAGCAGAGTGGTTTTGGGGACAAAGGTGGCTCTCCTCCTCTCAGTCCTGCAGGAAATGCAGCGGAGGCGTCGTCCAGAGGGGAGCCATTGAAATGTGGGGTGAAGAATGTGAGTGGGGTTGTTGATGATTTTGGCTGCCTGTCTGAAAACCTGTGCCAGAGTTCTGACAGGCAGGCCAATGATTTTAGAGCACACTGATGCAGTGTGCTGCAGTCTGTTCCTGTTCTGGAGGCTGAGGGAGTGGAAACAGCAGGTGATGGACAAGGTCATGATGCTTTCCAGGAAGGCATAGTAGAAAGTCATGATGGGTGTGCTGACTCCAAAGGAGTTGAGTTTCCTAAGAAGGTATAGCTGTTGGTGGCACCTCCTGAGAATCTCCTCTGTGTTGGCAGAGAATTTCAGGAGGTTGTCAAAGATGCTTCCCAGGTATTTGTACTCCTCAACTACCTCCACTGGCTTCCCATGGATGGTGGTGGTGACTGAAGCAGCCAGATCCCTGTGCATACTGGAGAAGGTCACCACCATCTCTTTGGTTTTGCTCACGTTCAATTCAAGTTTAGAGCTGTCACACCACTGTACAAACTCCTGCAGAGCGGGCCCGTGGTGTCATGAGGGGCCTGACAGCAGTGACAGGAGAACTGTGTCGTCAGCATATTTCACCAGGTGACAGTTGGGCTGTGTGGATCTGCAGTCATCGGTGTAGAGGATGAAGAGCAGGGGGGAGAGCTCACAGCCCTGGGGGGAGCCAGTGCAGGTGGAACAGAGACCAGAAAGAAACTTGTTGACCTGAACTTTCTGAGTCCTGTTGGTCAAAAAGTCCAAAATCCACAGGATTAGCTGATCATCCAGGTGAAATCAGGTGGAAAGTTTAGTGGCCAGGATATGAGGCTGCAAAGTGTTGAACGCTGATGAGAAATCTGCAAACTGAAGTCTGGCAGAGGAGTCAGGGAGCGCCAGATGTTTGTGGATGGAGTCCAAGATGAAGATTTTGGCATCATTGACACCTCTGCATGCACGGTAAGCAAACTGGAGTGGGTCCATCAGGGGGTCAATTGCTCTTACGATGTGCTGTTTTATGATCTTCTCCATGGCCTTCATCATCAGGGAGGTGAGGGCCACAGGACGGAGATCATTCAGAGACTTTGGGTTGTTTCTTTTGGGGATGGGGATGACTGTGGAGTGTTTCCACAGCTGGGGGACGGTGTGACTGTCAATTGAGTGTTGAAATAGAATCCAGAACACACTTCCTAGTTGCCCTGCACAGTGCCTCAGAACTCGACTGCTAATGTTGTCAGGGCCGGGTGAGCTCTTCTCCCTGGTCCTCCTGAGGGCTCTCACCACATCTTCAGTCCTGAAGGTGAGTGCAGAGCTGCCAGGTTTGAGTGAGGATCTGAACTCTTTAAGCTGGGCCATGTTGTCCGTCTCAAACCTGGTGTAGAACGCGTTGAGGTCGTCAGGGAGGGAGGAGGGGTTGCTGCCCTCCACCTGGATGGTAACCTGGTATACCACTGGCCACGTTGGTGGTCCGACGCACTTTGTGGCCGATGGGACTGGCCTGAAGTGCCTCTGCGCACCTTACACGCTGACAGTGGCCCATTCATTCGTTTTCATTACTGACACTAGATTGCCCAATCAAACCTCTTAAAAGCCCCTCAAGTGTTGTGAGGGGTCTCTCCCCTCCCTTCGCTGTCCGCTAGTGTGCGCCGTGTAGAAAAAGTTAAGCACGAAAGTGGCCAAAAGGTGGAGTAGTAGGCTGAGAGAAAACAATATAAAAAACCAAAAATAAATGCAGCAAATGTGTAAAATTAAGGACTGCTGCATCAGCTGCGGAGAAATAAGGAAGCGACTGAGGAAGCTGAAATGAACGTGGTGAGAAATTAGATGGAGGGAGAGATTAACAGGATTCAGGCAAAATGAATGGCTACTTTGGTGAAAAGCTAAGTGTAGCTTTTAATTATTGTCACGTACTGCATGACTAACCCAACAACAACTGTACCAACCTGATTTAAACCTGTTTCAATACCAGTTATTTGGCCGCCTGGACCAAAAATGCCACGGCCGATTTTTATTTTTTTATTTTTTGTCTCAGTCCAGCCCTGATGGCATCCTTGTCATATGAGTCAAATCAGAACGATTTCTTTAAACAGCGCTAATAAATAAAACACAGAAATTCTATTTAATGTGTAGCAGTTATTCAATTTATATGATCAACTTAGCTTCAGGTAAAATATTGAATTCATTTTTGCACAAAATGACTTTGTGGATAAACCGGATCACTGATGGTGCTGACACAGCGAATGCTACTAAAAGTCTAAACAATGATGACTGCACACAAAAACAGGGAGAAGCTTTCCTCCTTCCGTTCTTTTGTCATTATCCCTGTTTGCGTGTGACCTGTCACGCACTTCCCTCGTGTGTGTTAGTTTGGTTTCAGGTAGAGAGATTATGTATGTAACTGGTTTCTGCCTGTGGTCCACTGCGTGTGCGCAAGTGCGCTTTTGAGTCACACGTACAGGGTGGGAGGAGTGACTTCCGCAGGAGCTGTGAACTGCGTACAACACGGCAGCGTAAAGTCCGAAGTTGTTTATCCATTTGGACTGCGTGCTGCACACCCAAACGAATCCAGGTAATGACTGATAGTCCGAATATATTTAAGCGACTTTAATTTTGTGATTTATGTAAAAACGTGTCGCGCTTTATATTCAAATATATTATAGCAGGGTGGTTTATATGTTACATTAGCGGATTTTTATTCTTTTAAAAACAAAATTTACCGAATGTATCGAATATTAGGTTCAAGGAAATAACGCGAAAAAATTTACTTTCGTTTTCCGCCTCCTCAAGTCAGTTTCGTTTGTGCCTCACAGGCTCACTCACGTCAGTCCCATCATGGCCGAAGTGGACGAGTCTCAGTTTTCTATCATGAGTCTGGAGGATGAGCTGACCTGCAGCATCTGTCTGAGCACCTTTGACTGTCCGGTGACCATCCCCTGCGGACACAACTTCTGCCAGGACTGCCTGCTCGCCACATGGAAGGAGTCGTACAGCTGCCCTCAGTGTCGGACCCTGTTCGCCACCAGACCCGAGCTGAAGAAAAACACGGTCCTCACCGCCGTCGTGGAGACCTTTAAAGTGAGATCGAGCAAGAACGAACCCAACCTGACTGTAGAGGAGAGCCAAGTGAAGAAAAAGGAGATCCTCCGCTGTGATACCTGCATGGAAGCAGAGGCGTCGAAGACCTGCCTCACCTGCATGGCGTCTTACTGTGAGGAGCACCTGCGCCCTCACCGGGAAAATCCTATTTTCCGTCTGCACAGCTTGAGCGAGCCTGTCGGGGACCTGTTGGAGCGCATCTGCCCCGACCACCACAAGCTGATGGAGCTCTTCTGCACCCAGCATGATCGGCCAATCTGCAGCTTCTGCCTCCAGCAGGTCCACAAAGGATGTTCCTTCACAACCCCTGATGAACAAAGGAGCCGGAAAGAGGTGTGTGTTTGTCAGTATTCACCTGAGAAGTTTAAAGAGCCACATCTAAACAAAGATGGGTTTATTTTTCCTGTTAAAACATAATTATGTCTTAGTTTCTGTATTTTCATCAGGATGGCTAGCCTGAGTTTCACGTACTTGAGAAAAGTGGTAGATGCCATGGATGAGTAGTTGTTCCAGTTCCACTTTTCAATCCATCAATCAAAATTTATTTATATAGCACATTTAAAAACAACAGTTTTGATCAAAGTGCGTCACAAGTTAGGAAATAAATAAAATAAGACAAAATTACCAAACAATACAAGACGAGACAAACATAGAAACCAACCAAATGATAATCAAACTATTTTACGTCAGAGCCAGAGTAAAAAGATGGGTCTTTAAACGAGATTTAAAAGACTGAACAGTCTCAGAAGAGCGAATGGCAATCGGGAGGTTGTTCCACAGTCTAGGAGCTGCAATAGACTGGACTTTTGTCCAGTACCTGGATACAGTCTATGGATGTAGCTATCATGACATCTCCCACTATTTATAAGAGTCCTGCAAAGCCTCAAGCTGTGTAGTTTTCCAGATGTCACAGATCTAGTTAATTAACTGAAACACGGATGATTATTGAATAACATATGCCTAGCCTGATTCATCCTCCTTTCTGACAGCAAATAGGACCATAATTCACAAAATGAGCATCATATTTTATTCATTAAGAGCTCAAACTAGCAATTTAGACCAGTGACCAGTAAAATGTGTACTGAGCTGAAGTAAGCTTCAGCTTGGTACTCAGTTGTAATGGAAAACGACTGAAATCAAGTAGAGTAAAGTTGAGTCGAGGCGAGTAGGTTCTAATGGAAAAGAGATGTTAGACATGGCCTTTACTTTTCAGACATGGAAGCTACGTCCATCTTTTAACTCAGTTGTAGCAGTGCCTTGTGGACAACTCAGAACAGATCTTTGCATTCACCCACGCAGATCCTCAAATAGTATAGGGCCTACAAACCGCACACTACAACCTGATGAGGTCGAGTAGTCATTCCTACGTTTTGAATGTCCGTTTGGAGGCTCAGAAGGATCCATACATAATTGCTACATCATAGTGTGGCATTTCACAGAAACACAGGTGTTTGCACAGAGCCTTACATTTACCTAAGAGACAAAATTGATGAACCTTAGTAGTCCTTGCACAACTGCAGATGCAGAAACTAAGGCTACGTTCACACTGCAGGTCTTGATGCTCAATTCCGATTTTTTTTGATCAAATCCGATTTATTTTTTTATTTTTTTTATTTTTTTGTCTGCTTGTTCACACTACAAATAAAATGCGACAGCAAACGCTCTCTAGTGTGAACGCTCAAAGCGGCCCGCATGCGCAAAAGAAGACTTCACACACAACGCGCTCTGTTTAGACCCAGACCAAGCAATATTGTTTGACTGATGGCCCTTAATATAAAGACTTCGGACTTTACGTTTCCCAATTTTTGCTTTAAGTTATTTTGTTATTTACATAATAATGTAAATAACCTAATAATGATCCTTATTGCTGTTTTAGAGGAGTGGTGCTTCAAAGGATAGTTGCAGATTTCTGTCAGAATCTTCAGATTATACAGTACAGATAAAATGTTCACGTTGTCTTCCCAACAGTTTCACTGGATGGCCAGGAAGCGTTCGCGATGTCTTCTCTGGTGCTAATAATTGGCGTCTGTCTTGTGTCGGTGACGTAAAAGACAGATTTAATGACCGTTCAAACAGCAGTCGCTTTCTAAAACATCGGATATGTATCGGATTCAGTACCACATACGAAAGTGACCCAGATCGGATTTGAAAATATCGTATTTGTGCCGTTCACACTGTCACACCATTATCGGATATGGGTCGCATAGGGTCAAAAAAATCGGATTTGATGCGCTTTCGCCTGCAGTGTGAACGTAGCCTAATACTGGCAGGTGTCTCACAGTTTGAGAACTGCTTTAAAATATGAATGAGTGGAATTCCTTTTTAGCTGCTCACAGCTTTAAAATTTTGGGTTGCACGTCTGTTATCTTTCGATATTGGTTATGCTGTCATTAGAATATCTGAATTATGAAAAGAGAGACTTGATAACCTGAGTATAACCATAGCATCCATTTAGGAGTTTACCCTCATTGTGAAGCCAGAAAGCCAAGGTTACGGCCAAAGTTATCACTTATGCCAACAAATTTTTTTTTTTAAATTTATTATTTTTTTTTGTAAAGAGACAGGGCTAAAGTAAGTGACTGTATCATGTTTCCCTCTTTGCAGTCTGACCTGAGGAGCAATTTGGGTTTGCTAGATGGGAAGATTGTGAAAAATGAGACCATCATATTTGAAATGAAGGACATGCAGAACAAGCTAAAGGTAAGACTTCTCATAAGCAAAAACAAAGATGAGGCTAAAGGAACATTTTGTATTACTTTGAATTATTTCTTTGCTGATCCAGTTATGAATGTTTTCTCACTCCTGTCCTCCAGGACTTGGCGACCAGCAGGAAGAGAGCTTTGACAGCTGAGTATCAGCAGATGAAGGAGATGTTGGTCCAAGATGAGCGCGAAGCTCTGAACGCAGTGGACCGAGAGGTGGAAACTGGTCAGACCAAACTCAGAGTTCTTATGAAGAAGTTTGGTGACAACGTTGACAACATGACGAAAGCTAAAGAAGAAATCCACAGCCTGCTGAGTCGCTCTCAAACCCAGGCCTTCCTGCAGGTGGGACGTCTGTGATTGTTAATTCATACAGCTGCTAGTAATGATAACATACTAACACATGATAAAAAGTGAGTAATGGTTCTAAAACAGACCTGAATCACGATAAAAGCAGCCGCACCCTCATGTTGCCTTTCCCCTTCCTGCAGTGTGAGCCGTAATTTACAAAGTGAACAGCATGTTCATTTTGCTTGGCAAAGTATAAGAATACCAACTTGACCCATTCAATCGTAGACTGATATCAGGGTCTGGCCCTCTACTAGTTAAATGTTCTGTGTGGAAAATTGCTGGAAGAATTTCAAACACCCCACTTACTTTGATGACGAATGGCTTTTGTTTCCAAGGAACAGAGGGGGTAACGAATAAGGTCCATGGTGATGTTGGCCAAGAATTTCATAGTCGGTGTGTGTCTCGAATCTAAAATGCCAAGCAAACCACATTTCAGAACCTTGGACCTTGATGTTTGAGTTTTATTGCTTGAAAATGGGTGAAATGTATCAAATGGGAATTTTAAAAAAAGTTGACCGTTTCCCTATGACCCCAAAAAAATAGCAAAAATTCAAAGAAGAATTCCTTGGCTATCATAACTCTAATCGCTTCCCCTCTGTTTTGGAGAACCAACCATTGCCTTTATTATGAAAAGCTTTGATAGTTTTTTTTTTTTTTCCTAAACATGTTAGAATATTTCAGGCTCCTTGAGCTCCCTAAACGGCACTTACGACCTTTAGGCCACAGATCTGTCGGGCTTATGGGGCTAGGTCAGTTTTAAATGAGGTAGTGTTTTAAATGTTGGGTGGCAGCACACCCAACATCGGTTATGGATAGACACTTTAAACAAGAAGTTAGGGTTAGGTCAAGCTGTTGGGTTGGCTTTAAATGCCATTGTTGGTTCGGGTTGGACACCAAACCCAACCTGTTGAAGGTCAGGTTAAACAATTGGGTCACATAATTGAGTTTTGTAAGCTAGGTTTGGGTACAAAGCCTAGGTGACTGGGCTTAGGTTCAGAGTCGGCAGCAGACCATTTAAACTTGAGGGGCAACTAACTGTAAACAGGAGAGTATTTGGCTTACGTCTCTCTGCTGTTCCAACCAAAAACAACCATATACACCTAATATACTCACAGAGAAATGTAACCACCCAAAATGATAAAAGCCCCAACCAGTCAGGGCACATAGTTGCCCCTCCTTGAGCCTGCTTCTGGCGTAGGGTTCTTCCTGTTAAAAGGGAGTTTTACTTTCCCACAGTCACAGAGTTGTTGGAGTTTTCTCTGCTTTATTTTAGTGTCCTAACCTTACAATATAAAGCACATTGAAGCAAATGTTTTTGTGATCTGGTGCGATATAAATAAAACACTCCCTATATATGTTTTATTCAGCGAGACTCGAAACTAGCAAATGAGGTCCTACAATCAGCAGTAAAGCATTTAGAACCAAACTCGTTAAAAGTCAGAGGAGTCTCCGCTTGCTAGGCATTGTCAGCAACGTCTAATCAATATATTGCATGTAAATAGTATTGTTTGGGGATGATGGCTGCCCCCACCTGAGCCTGGTTCTGCTGGAGGTTCCTGTTAAAAGGGAGTTTTTCCTTCCCACTGTCACCACCTGCTCATAGGGGGTCGTTTGATTGTTGTGGGTTTCTCTGTATTATTGTAGGGTCTTTATGTTGCAACATAAAGCCCTATGAGTCAACTGTATTTTGGATTTGGTGCTATATAAGTCAAATATAATTTAATTCTAAACAATTGTTGTTCTCTAACAGAGATGTGATTTCTGATTTTATGATAGTTGTGTTAGAGGGATATTTTAACACAACCATCACAAAAACCCCACATGTGTACACATAGATGTTTGTTTATTATAAATGTATTACATCACATAGTAGTTTATTACATTTTGTAAAAGGGGATATGATTATCTTGACTGAGCGTACAACATTGTGTTCCTCTCTTCTCAGGCACCATTTAACCTCCCCCAAGCTATTAACTTTGAGCCTTACTCTCCTAAAATCAGCCTGGACTCCAAGAAGGTTTTGGCATCACAGGCCTTTGCTGCTGCCCTGAAGCAGCATCTGACAGAGATCTTCAAACAGCCCGTCGAGAGCCGACTACCATTAAATACACCAGGTGAGTGCATGGACCCGTTTTGTCTGACGTTTTAAAGTTTAAGGTTCATTGAGGAAGTTTAGTGAAGATGGTGTCCAATTTTGTTGCAGAAGTTAACCCTGATATTTTGGCAGCTGGTGAGTTGTTTCATGTGGGGACCAATGAAAACAGGATTCCAATCAAACTGCTCAAAAATTTAAGGGAACACTTAAATCGTGTATCGGATCTTGTTGAAGGAAAATTTCAAGTTGAACATCTTTACTGAGAGCAGGATAAAAATCACACCAACTATCAAGGCAGTTAATATTGTTCAAGTGTTCCCTTAATTTTTTTCTGAACAGTATATTTTGAAAATACTCAAATTGATACCGCGTTCTGTGGTCGAGGTTGAATACATTAAGTGTTGATAAAGAGTCAATACTGTAATGACTCAATGTTCATGCTTTCATTGAAAAATCAGGTTCAGCCTACACTACTCTGTGGTCTACAGTGGGGTCTCCACTGGGCTCCGGAAATTTATTGGAATATGGTAAGTCAATTCATCTGTCCAGTACCAGGTTTATAAAACAAGATTTTTATAACCGGTCAAGCATAAATGTCTGTTCTTTTATTTACTGCTTCTTCAGAGGTGGAGTCCAGTCCAGGTCACCTTAAACTCCCCAGGTCTCACAGTCCAGGTCCTCAGGCCAAAACAGCCCAGAAGAAAAAGACTCCAAGTATGAAACTGCTTTAATTTTCATTTTGTGTTGCCGTCTTGTGGTTGAACTATATTGTCGATACTGAGCACATAATGATATGTTTGTGGAGATTTTTCATTATTTTAGTTGTATGGTCATGCAGTTTTTTAATGAACTACAGGTGTACAGGAAATGACTTTAGCCTCTGCATTTACTGATGTGACTTGTACAGTACCACCATTAATAATGATAAATTATTCAGACATTTTATATTCATGCATTATTTGTAATTTAACTCATAGTTCAAAGAATTTAGTTAATTCACTTCATGAAATCAGTCCAGATTTGTAGTGTTTGATAAGGAAAAATGTCATCTTCCATTTAATTGGCACAGCAACTCAAAAACCAGCAAAATGTCTATAAATGTTATTCATATCTAATAAGACTAAAATAGATTTTATTGTAATCCTAAATTCTGTTATAATTTGTTTTTACTTCTGTGATTTGCAGTCAGCACAGAGGGCTGTCAAAGTCTCTTATTGTGAAAGGCAATGACAGGAAGAAGCACTTTTATTGCACAGAAATGGGTTTCTGGTATGGGTCAGGCAACAGCCATTAAAGTATTCCTCTACATCAGTGATTCCCAGAGTGTGGGCTGGGACCCCCTGGTGGGCTGCAAGAAAATGTAATCCCATTACATTAGAAAATGTATTGTGTGACCCAGTGGCACTTGGGTTGCACATTGACCTTTACACTTTGCGTATGACTGCGTGGCATTATCAATTTATAGCCAACAGCCTGTGTTGTTTATGGTTATTGGGTTTTTTTAATAGCATTTTTTAGTAAATACATCTCTTTATCTATATTTAGCATTATCTTATCTTGGGGCAGCACGGTGGAACAGTGGTTAGCACTGTTGCCGCACAGCAAGAAGGTCCTGAGTTAAATTCCACCGTCAGGCTGGGGTATTTCTGTGTAGAGTTCGCATGTTCTCCCCATGGTTGCGTGGTACTCCGTGGACTCCATCAAAGACACGCAGTTTGTGGGGATAGATTAATTGATTAATCTAAATTGCCCATAGATGTGAATGTCGGAGTGATTGTGAGCGCGAATGGTTGTCTGTCCCTGTGTGTTGGCCCTGCGACAGACTGGCGACCTGTCCAGGGTGTACCCTGCCTCTCGCCCTATGAAAGCTGGGATAGGCTCCAGCAACGCTGTAAAGGATAAGCGAATGATGGATGGATCTCTTTATCTTGTATTTTGATCAGAGTGAAAATTTAGATTGAGTGGGAAAGATGGGATTTTCTTGTTTTTAAGTTGGCTGCAGAACTCTTGACTTTGGGAATGGCTGTTCTACATGTTTGCTTCACATTTGTACTGCGCTTAATTTGAAGCTCCTCTCTAAATGAATGGGAGCAGTTCCATACTGTAAATTTGTTAGTCAACAGGATAAAAAAAAACAAACTCCCACATATTTGGAATCATCATTCATTTCTGATTTAAAAAAAACCTTTAAAATATTTATACTTGTAATTTAATATTTGTACTTTCTTCTGTGCACATGCAGCTGTCTGCAGCTTCATTAGTGGCTCATTTCAGAATGCTGATGTCTGACTCACCCACTGAGCACACAGAAAGCTGAGGCAAAATATGCTTTCCTATATCATTACAATAAAAAGCAGATATACCTGATATCACTGTTTACATGGGTGAAACTACACAAATGGCTCACTTGCTTCCTGGTTTGACTCTTGAATGAGGGGGGACAAAAGACCGTCGTTGCTGTTACAAAATCCTCCCACAAATTTGAGGTCCATGCCGAGTTTGTCTCTTAAATCTGATATATGCACATTCAATTTTATAACTACTTCTCTTGTTTTTCTAGAACCCAAACCAAAAAATCCTCAGACCACTGGGGACGGTATGGGTGATAAAAATACTGGCCGTTCAATGGAAAACCTGTTGGAGTTTGGAGGGAAACCCAGAGGCCGTACTCCTGCAGCTGAACCTAAACAGAAACCAGGTAAACATCAGATTTTTGCGTTTTATGCTAAACCTTGCTTAAAGCTCAGAAATGGACTAGTTTATGGGAGCCTGTTCCTGTTGTTTGAGATCTAATCGCATTTGTCTTTAATTGTAGAAACTACAGATATTCCCCCAGACATAAGCACAGCTGAAAAGAGAAGTGAACTACTGAAATGTAAGTGTAGCAGGTGTCTTTCCATCATGTGGTAACAGCAGCTGTGGCTGTTGTGAAATGACCTTTCTTTTTGTCCGTTCCAGATGGCACAGTACTCACCTTCAATCAAAGGACCGCCCATAAACGCATCGCGCTGACTGAGAACTTCACTAAGGCCTCGGTGTCAGACGATCACATAAACTACCCCGACTGCCCCGAACGCTTTGCTGTCTGCTCCCAGGTGCTCGCCTCCAAGGGTTTCTCTACAGGGCGCCATTACTGGGAAGTGCGACTGAGCAGCAGTAACTTCGTTGGCATAGGCTTGGCTTACAACAGCATCGACCGCAAAGGCCCCACCAGTCGACTGGGCCGCAACGCCCAGTCCTGGTGTGTCGAGTGGTTTAATGTCAAGTTGTCAGTCTGGCATAACAGCAGCGAGACCGTGCTTGCTAATCCAAATCCAAAGCGCGTAGGCGTGCTGTTGGATTGCGAGGCCGGCACTGCTACATTCTACAACGTGGCTGACAGGGCGTATCCCTTCCACTCCTTCATGTTCCCCTTCGCTCAGGCTGTCTATCCAGCCTTCTGGATTTTCTCGAGTGGCTCCTTCATTACTTTGTGCAAGCTGCAGTAATGAGTTTGCAGTCAGCTAGTCGGCTCTTTGTTAAAGGTGCCCAGTGGAGTTTTCTTGTAAACACGTAACTTATTGTCACTATGTAACTATACGTAACTGTAGAATATTCATTAAATTTTTTTTAGGTCTAAAAGTGCAGGAAAGAAATTTTGCAAAGCTAATTTATTAAAATGCATTATGTAATTAACAAGGTAATTATTATGGTTAACAAGCTGCCTTCTACTTAACTGCATGTGTAGGTGTTGGTCGCTGCATTTTTTGGCTTGTTGGATTCATGAACTGGTTCAGTAAATAACCATGAAACTAAATTGAGGCATTATAAATCCTATGCATCAGTGCTGACAGTAGTTAGAAGCTCCACAGGGCACCTTTAATCAATCGCTCGTTATTACAGACTTAATCTACATAAAATTATATACAATTATTTAAATGGAGGAACAAAAAAGATTGATTAGAAAAAGTAATTAGTTAGCAATAATTTTTGAATGTTTTAAACACCAAAAAGTTGAACCACGATATTTTTCACATCAGGACCGATTATAGCTGCTGTCTGGGAACTATTTGTTCAGCTGTTGTTGAAGAGGAAAATGTTGTCTTTACACAACTGATCAGCATCTTTATTGACATTTGATCAGGTTAAATATCACTGTCTCATAGAGATTTCTGTTACTGCTTTTCATGTACATCAGAGGTGTCAAACATGAGGCCCGTGGGCTAGGATCGGCCAAACAAAGATTCCAAACTGGCCCACTTTGGAAAATGTGAAGAAGGGCAAACATTTTGGACTCTTAACTGTATTTTCATAGATTTTACAGCTTTTGCTGCGGGTATAGACCTTCCCCATGCCGATTCATCTACATCAAAGTACATGGGTAACTGATAGACATGAATAGAAATGTGATTATTTTTACAATGGGTCCACATTAAAAAAAAAAGCATTTTCTGTGAATTAATAAAAATATTCTGTTTTATAATTACAGTCTGGGCAGTGAGCAATGAGCGCCTTCCTGTGATTATACACATTTATTAATTTTCATTTTAAGCACGGAGACATGCTGACAGATTTCTGTTGTTTGCTACAGCAGGACTTCCTTATGATGTAGAAAAAGAGATGTGCTTTTGAAACTGCATCTTTATACTGACAGAACTGGGAGTTTCACTGGTTCAGCCCACTTAAGATCAAAGTGGTCTGTATGTGGCTCACAGTGGGAAATGAGTTTGACATTCCTGATGTACGATAAGCAGAACTGTTGCTCTAGTTGCCAAATCTTGGGGCTATTTCCAACTTTTTTTTTGAACCTCTGACCGCCCCATGACCATCCACCCGTTTACAATAACGATGACATTGCCACAGCACGTAATGTTAATGCCTAAGTTAGGCAGCAAAGCATTCTTGTTGCAATCAGTGCTGTTAATGCACTCTCTTGCTACTGAGTGATAATTTCTTGGTGGTATTTGAGGGTAATAAAACGTTCAGCTACACGTGTGCATCCAAATACTTGCTGTGCAATGCGTGTAGCTGTACTTGCCGATCTCAAAATGGCAAGTGGGAGAACAGAAATGCTCGATTTGAGACGCAGAATGTGAATGTCCTGATTAGTAGTGCTTTCTGCTAATAATGTCTGTAAGATCTGAGGAATATATGGCAGCGGTTTCTCGGTCCTGTCTGACAGTACTAGTAGACAGAGTTACGCAAACAACCGAAGTGGGTATCAAGAGTTAATAGCATGTCATATCTGATGTTATTAACTTTTATTATCTGTGCTGGATGTGATATTCAGCAGCTGATTCATTTAAATGAATTTGTCTCAAAACGCAGGTAATGCACTATATCCTGTATTTTTCTAGTGACTGTGAAGCAAATATGTGTTCAAGTCACTTTAAGAAAAGTATTTAAAAACAAAGTTTGCTTTTAAAACTGCATCAAGTCAAAATGAAATGTCTTGGTGTCGAGAGAAAGCAGGATAGAAAGAAAACATCAGACCTAAACTCAAAAGATAAAAACCATATAAATGTATGTTGTTTTTTTTAATGTATACAACAATTTCACTTTCAATGGTGTCAGGGTTTCCTTGTGGTGTTTTTATTTTTCGGAGAGTTTATTTATTTCCTGCTTTTTCTGCAGTTCTTGCAGAACACACACATACAGTGTGTGTCCTGTGCAGGTTATGTATCGTGCACTGTTGAACAGATGTGACTACAGCTGGATCAAGCAGGGAGTCTACCTGTGAAGCACATGTTTGCGTAGTGTTTCGATATCAATTCTGCATGTGGAGACTTTGTTTTAGAGTGTGGGAACTGAGGTTCTAAGACTGGGTGATGCAGCGGTTTTTCATGATATGAACAATGTGTGGTGACTTTAAAGATTTGCCTCAGCGTTACGTTACAAAAATGCTCAAATCTGTCCAAACTGTAAATGAAGAAATTATTTGTAAATACCTGACATCTGAAGATTGATATGAAGCTAGAGTGACTTCCATTTGTCAGTTTCTAAAATATGTTTCTGTGACATGATTGGCTGCTTAATGTGCACAAGCACCGCACATGTCATAGAAATTTTATCAGCATAAGAGAATCTATGCTGTAGCTTGTATCACCCAGCTCCAAATGCTCACTTCTTTCAACTGATGGGAACAGAAGCCATGTTTCCTCTGTTTTCATCATGTTCTGAAAGTCTCTCTCCTCTTTTGTATTTGGGTTGTTTTTATGGCAAGAGTCACCGATTATCTGCAGCTGATCAGATCCTGGATTTGATCTTGGGATATGATGCTTGCATGGGATGCCCCATAGAAATAAAATGCTATACACGTTTTTCTATGGTAGGCATACTAAACTAACAAGCCATCACAAAACCTCGTTGGCTTTAAAAAGGTGGAGGAAATGTAGCAAAACGTACGGTTTCAAAGGGGTAAATTATTTGTTGTAGCAAAGTTTACTCCGGCCTGTAAGAACAACGACTCTCTTCCTGATGTGGCATACTCCAGTCCACCAGGTGTTAAAGTGTTTAATATAGTGATCACTTTAAGAGTCAGACGTGCATCTTATAGAAATGAGACTAAGTGTTGAACATCTTCGGTGTGCTTTAACAGTGAAGTTTGTGGTTCAGTCACAGCTCCTAACTTTGTTCTTTTTGACAAAGTTGGACAAACTTTACTATATTTAAAAGGTTCAAAAGACACTTTTGTTCAGACTGAGTGATAAGCAAGGAAAGGTTCACACAAACAGTGTGCAATCCATAAACTAAGTATAATTTTAGGTTGTACACTGATATTGGTGTACTGGATCTGATCCTGTGTGGTGCAATCAGCTTATCACAGTGGAGAAAGCATAGAAGGGTTTAAGAAACTATCAATACCTTTCCTGGACCGTGGTGACACTTGTGTACTCTTACTACCTTACGTTGAAATCACATAATAGTGGTGTATACAATTAATCAAAACATTTTTTTTTAACTTCCTGTAGTACTTTTCGAGTTTAAGCAGACTCCAGGACTGAGATGATTTGTTCTGTGTAAATTAGTGAATGTCAGCTTAACTGTAGTCTTTGCATCACACAGAAGTGTAGCAGTACGTGTGTTTCTGTAACGCTTCAGTGGTTAACCATCTTGTGCTCTTACTGTCTTTGAAAAAGTGCTTGTTAGTACATTATATTTAAGGTGTTCATGCTGTATTCTCTTGGATTGCTATATTGCATAATCAAAAACTGCATTGCAAGTTAACCAGTGAATATTGCTAATAAAGGGTTTTTCTGATTCTCAAATGGCTTTGTTTCTTTTAAAGACACTTTGACCTGCATCTTATTTGGCTTAAAGAATTTTGCTCTTTTGCTGCCACATATCGACATCACCCGCCCACATCTCATGTCTAGTTCAGATGTTAGACCTGAGGCTGCCAGGAAGAGCAGCTGATTAATGCTGCCCTGTTATGGATGCCAGACTGGATTATATGGCGCTGATTAAGGCAAAGTTCTGACAACAGCTGCTTTTTTTGCACAATGTATATAAATGTGAATTTTACAAATTTTAAATAATATTTTTAAGACATTTAGACAGAGAATTATCTTCAGTTTGGATATCCACTTTGTCATAACGCAATCTTTCCCTTTCCTGTCATGATTTTCATAACTAACCTTTATAAATATTATTAAACACTATTATTTGTCTATTGTCACCTTGAATACTTCTCAAATGTATTTAAGCTGCTGTTTAATTGATCCTGTTATTCATTATAAACACTCTCAACCTGTGTTATATATTCTTTACCTGCCTAGTAGCTCCATATCCAACATCCTTTATCCAATATACACCATCCTTCCTCTGACACACACGCTTATCTCTCTAACTTTGACTACAAAACACTCAACCTCAGCTGTCTCGCTGATGTATTAATTACTAATCCTTCAGTTGTGCTCACGCAAACTTAAAATCTTAGCATCTTCACCTCTGCCACCTTCGGCTTATCTTTTTTTGTCAGTGCCACTGTTTCCAGCCCAGACCCATCACTGCAGGTCTCACTACCATATTTAAAACCTTCCCTTTCACTCTAGCTTTTATCATTCATACAAATCACCCTGACACTCATCTCCTCCCACTCCACCCTGTCCTCACCCCTCTTATGCCCTATCTGCTGCTGTAGATGGTTTACCCCAGGTATTTAAACTCATCCGCCTTCACTATTTTGACTCGTTGCATCTTCATTGTTACATCTGTCTCCCTCTCATTCACACACATGTATACCGTATTGCTACTACTAACTTTCATCACACTCCACTCCCGGGCATACCTCCACCTCTCCAGGCTTCAAGTCTCTGTGTGTTAACAACTAAAAGTACTTTTAAAAGTACTCATCTGAAGTATATTTGTTTTCCCACCCTTCCACCATCCAGTTTTTCTCCAAGATTGTATGAATATAACTAATGATCTCTTTAGTCATTTAAACATTAAAGCTTTTTCAGCTAATGGGGTTATTATCACAGCAGTATTCTGGAAGATCTTAAATATGTAAGCAAAAAAAACTGCATAAATAAAGATATAAAAGAGCTGGAGAAGTCATCAGTTAAAACTCAGCTGGCTGTCTTTCAGCGTGTGATGCAGGGCCAGTGTCCTGTAGGTTTTAGATGTGTCCTTGATCCAACACAGCTGATTTAAATGATCTTCTCAACGTGTCTTAAAGTTCTCCAGAGGCCTGGTAATGAGCTAATCACTTGATTCAGGTGTGTTGACCCAGGGTGTTAACTAAAACCTGCAGGAAACAGGCCCTGGAGGCCTCGAGTTCCCTACCCCTGTATGCATTCATAGCCTGTTCCTTGTATTTATATATTAAATTAAGTAATGTAATTAACAATCAAATGTTAAAAATGATTAAACATAAAGATCTTTCATTTTCTTTCCTAATGCTTGATTTCTTTGACAGCGCCCTAAAACAGGATATCAAATAAGTTAATATATCTGTCTATTCATTTATTCATTGTTCAGGTTGAATCTGTGTTTATGAAAAAATAAATATTCAGGCAGATGTTGTGGTGACTTTGTCATAAATCCTGTTACCGTAAACATAATAATGACACACGTCCACTTCCATAATAATTCCGTAATACACACGCCCCCCACTGCCACTACGGTAAACCCCAAGGCACAATAAGCACGGATTGCACACATTGTAAACAATACAACAAGTATTGTTATTTATGGTTATTTATGTGCAACGTCAAGAACTTTACTGCAGTAAAATGACTGTTCTCGTAGTACAGAAGAGGATTAGGGCCACTGGAAAAAAAAAAATCTGACTTTTTTCTCTGAATTCTGAGAAAAAAGTCAGATTTTTTTTTTCCCAGTGGCCCTAATCCTCCTCCGTAGTTCTGAGTTTTGGTGCGAGTGCGTTTGCCGTTGTTTAACTTCCAGAGGGGTTGGCCTTCGTTGATTCGATGATAAGTTTCGTTTGTGCCTCGCAGCTTCATTCGCGTCAGTCCCATCATGGCCGAAGTGGACGAGTCTCAGTTTTCTATCATGAGTCTGGAGGATGAGCTGACCTGCAGCATCTGTCTGAGCACCTTTGACTGTCCGGTGACCATCCCCTGCGGACACAACTTCTGCCAGGACTGCCTGCTCGCCACATGGAAGGAGTCGTACAGCTGCCCTCAGTGTCGGACCCTGTTCGCCACCAGACCCGAGCTGAAGAAAAACACGGTCCTCACCGCCGTCGTGGAGACCTTTAAAGTGAGATCGAGCAAGAGCGAAGACAACCTGACTGCAGAGGAGAGCCAAGTGAAGAAAAAGGAGATCATTCGCTGTGATACCTGCATGGAAACAGAGGCGTCGAAGACCTGCCTCACCTGCATGGCGTCTTACTGTGAGGAGCACCTGCGCCCTCACCGGGAAAACCCCATTTTCCGTCCCCACCAGCTGAGCGAGCCTGTCGGGGACCTGTTGGAGCGCATCTGCTCCGACCACCACAAGCTGAAGGAGTTCTTCTGCAGCCAGCATGACCGTCTGATCTGCAGCTTTTGCCTTCAACAGGTCCACAAAGGATGCTCCTTCATAAGTCCGGAGGAGCAGAGGAACCTGAAAGAGGTGTGTCTGTTAGTATTCACCTGGCAGTTCCTTATATTCAGGATAATATTAGAGTTTTATGTACAGTTTGTGGTCACAATGAATGAAAATCGGAACTTAATGGTTAATTCTAAAATGTGTCCAAATGCTAGCAGCCAGTAAATTTAGGTTAGACTTGTACTTCATATTAAAGGAGGGGCCTGTCTTTAGCTTTCCCCTTCTCAGGTCATAATCAATGGCTCCTCTAATCAACATTCCAATGCCAGAAATTACCTTGTACGACGTTTTAGTATCCTTCCTGATATAAGCCGCCTGATATAAGGTCAAAGCGTACAGTAGACATACCGGTCCACCTTTTACATTTTATTAGCTCTCCAAAGAGTGAAATGGACACACTTTACAATGATACTGGTTTACACATTTATGATGGGAAACGGTTATTATTATTATTATTATTTATGGTCAAAATATGACAATCTTGCATATGAATCAGAATGAATCATTTAGTTGTTGCATAATCCCCACGGGTAAGTCAGTTGATCACACCCTACTGCGTTGTCAGCTTTTAGCAGACAACGCGTTCAAAGTGCGAGCAGGGCTCTATGACAGTAGCACCCCTCCCTGTGTGTTCAGTGGAGTAGAGCGCTGTTCCTCTTTCCATTTGCTCTTGTTGGTTGTCAGCTTAAGGTGGTGCTCAGTCATGTGCTTCACCTGTCTGTAATTTGACATAATAGAAGAAAATGTCACTTTCACACACCGCTCCTCACACAAGAGCAGTTTTTATACATTAAACAGGTTCAAGCCTGTAGTGATTGGCTGTGCAACTGTTTTCAAACTAGGACAAGCTTATTATAGTAAATTCTAAATTCATCCTTGCAGCACTGTTTGTCAAGGTCAAGTTTATTCATGTAGCACATTACCAACAGTCCATGCTGCACAAAGTGCTTAACAATGTAAAATGCCACTAAAATAAATAAAATGCATAACAATGATGCAGGAAAATATGAAAACAACATAAAACTCTTTATCTCCAAGTCTGCAGCCTCCAGCTCAGCCTTCTTGCCTTCTTGTCAGTTCAAACCTTCTCTAAACAATACATCATAGCAGGTCTCACTGCCTTTTATCACAAATTCTCTCCTGACTCTCCTCTTCAACCACCATTCATGCACTCACTTCTTCACCTCACTTGTGCACGGTCTATTGCATTGGATGGTTGATCCCAGGTATTTAACCTCATCTACCTTCATTATCTCCTTATCTTCATTGTCCTTGCATCTTCAAGCATATCTTGGCACGGCTGCTTGGGTTTATTGTTTTCTCTTAGTGTAGTATTGCAAGCCATGGGTCTTTATCAGTAAGATAGCTGCAAAACTGACCATAATTTAGACTTCTGGCTAAGATTGAGAGTTTAAGCAATGACTCTTATGACATGGGATGGTATAAGCAAAGGGCTCCCTGCTGAGAAAACAGTAAAAAGAACAAGTTTTTTTTTACTTCTCAGTAGCTTTTACACTTTGTAAATCCATCCACCAGTCAGAATGGATCCTGTTACAGCAGACACGATAGCCCACTATCTCTGGAATGTGGTTCAATCCTGTCCCCGTGTATTAATGTCCGATCAGAGACATGAGATGATGTCACTGTATCGCAGAACTTTATTTATCGCTGCCACACATTAAGCACACAACCTTGCTGGTGAGTAGAAATGTGCTTCTGAAACTGATGCAAGTAGGAAATAATATAAACATCTTTCAATAATTCAGCATCTTTCAGATGAAGTATTACAGTTAAACCACAATAAAATGTAATGTTAACCATGGGATAGAAGCAGATAAGAGCAGGATAGACACAGAATCAGAGCTAACTTGTATTAAATCTCTTGTTTGTGGATCAGCACGGCCCTAGTGGACCCAGGAATTCACTCAAGTGCCGCTCTGAAACAAAGCTTGTCAGCACAGGTGCACATGTTATCACACTAAATTACAACAGATAAGACTTTCTTGCAATCACTAACTTTACACAATAACAACAATCAGCTTATTCATAGAAATGTAGCATGTGAAGCAATGCTATCACACAAACCAGCATTATGGAGGGTCTCAAGTACCAAAATTATTTTTTTTAAATTATATCTTTATTTGGAATGGACATAGCAATATATGAGAACAGAGTCCTTCCAGGTTTTTCGAGTTAAGTCCAGGAGAGCAAATGT